AAAATGTGGGGCTGACCTAAATAAGCTGGGCAAGTGAAGGGTGTGAGGAGAGCAATGTTACTGAGAGTTTGGACAAGTCTGATGTGCTCCTGGGGTTAGCTCTGAAGTCAGGTTCAAGGGGTATGTGCTGAGACAGTCCATTCCCCATCTCCAGTGCATCATGACCTGAAGCTGTCCCCACTCCAGGCTCTTTTTCCTCTCAACCATCTCTAAAATGGCCTAAAACAGCCATCCTCTTGTCTTGCCTTGCCTTGCCTTGCCTGGGTCTATGGAAGAGAGGGAGGAGACGGAGATCTCCATGGAGCTGAGAACATTGAAAGGTGGGACTGCTGCTATGGGTCTCTCATGTGAAGACCTGCAGTATACTCATAAATCCAATTATGTAGTTGGGTGCCTTACAAGGTCTACATAAGGAAAACAGGAAGGTCTGAGGATTGAGCCTTTGGTCAGTGCCAGCGAAGCATGACCTGTGACACTTATTCAATTACCAGACTGACTGATCTGGGTCTGGCTGGCACCTTTCAGCAATCAGTTACAAAATAATTCATAAATACCCTAAAACCCACACGTGGAGGGGCCAGGCCAGTGAATGGATTTGCTGGAGCAGGCACATATTCAAACTTTTATAGCAACACATAAATTCTTAGTAGTGACAAAGTTCCTGTACAGTGAGTTTGACCATGGATTACTGAGCAGGGTCAATTTTTACTGAACTGGCTCCCTCATAGTTATAAAATAACCAGAAATAACTGTTGAGCGTGGAGCTATGGGTTGTCTTGAAGGTCAAGTGAGATGCCAAGCACTGAAATGATATGGAGGGAATACAGGGAACAGAGTGGCTGCACCCACATTTATGGGAATTTGGAGCAATAATCTGTGCTTGGGTGAAAGCAAAACAGTGTTTAATCCAGCCTCCAGCCTCTGCATTCTATGTTTCACTGGTAGAGGGGAGAAAAAAGCCCTTCTCATGTATTTCAGAGGTTTCACAGCAAGAGAGGCTGTGAACACTCTTTAGCACTCTTTAGCACAGCCTGGGGAAGATAACTCAGAAGTTTTTGCAGAAGAAGAAACCTCTGCAAGAAGTTCAAATGGGAAAGTGAAGTGACTGCAGAGCTGCAAGTGGAGAAAAATGAAAGTGGACAGCACTGGTTTGGTCATGGTAAGGGATTGAGACAAGGCCAGAACAATCTGTTAGCACCATGAGAATCTACAGCCCTATTGCTTCCCAGAGTCCTGAAAGAAGAGGACTCCAAAAGAAGATCTCAGCATGAAAAAGCAGGTACAAGGGTCTTCTGATAGCCAGAGGAGTCTGAGGATGCTGGCAGGGTGAACAGAGGCTTGGCTTGACCTTCTGGACATTTTAGACTGGTGAAACTGCTGTTGGGTGTTAAAGGACACTTGGAAAGTTGTCAAACATTTGCAAAGAGCCTCTGGGGGGATGGCTCGATGATGTGATGGCAGTGGGGCCATGACAGGCCAGGCCATCAACATAAAAAAACCCCCATGACATTGTAGAATTTCCATCCCATATCACAACCATGGACACAGCAGGTTGTGGAAGTTGCTTTCTGAGTCTTGGGAATTTCTCTACCTACTTTAGACATCTAAAGAGAAGAAGGAGAAGATCTTCCTCACAGATTTAACTCGTACTGTTGACATCCATTGCAGAAGACCTGGTTTATTGAGAAGGTGAAATGCAGGTGGCAAACGGGTACTGTGCCCCAGAGCATGACCTTGCAGCAGCTGCTTTCCCTGTTTGTGCCTGTGTTTATTCGGATAGGAAGAAGAGTCCAGGCCCATCTGTCCCTGTGTGTTCCTGCAGCACTTAGTGCTGACAGATGAAATGTAGCTGTAATGCCAAAAAAAAATAATAACATTTCAAGCTTCCAAACACATGATAGATGAGAAAATCATGGCAGGAGCCCAGCAAGTGTTGCAGGGTAATGCAAGCTGCCTGGATCCCATCTGACCACACTTGTCTTGAGAATGAATGTATATCTGGAAGCATTTAATACAGCTGTCTAAAAAATATGTTGCAATACTTATTTAATTTACAGGCTGCTTCCAGCATAAAATCCCAGCGGGGTTTAGATGGAAGTTGCTGGTACCATCTGATAATGAACTTTCCTGGAGAGTGGCGTGTGTCCTGTGCAGGGACTGCATTCCCAGTGGTGTGAGCCAGCTGCTCTCCCTGATGGCTTTGCTGCTTCCATCATGCCCGGCAGCATCGGGGTAAGTGCCACCAGCAGACTGTGATGGACAGGCACCTTCACGTGACCGGGATGTGGCTGCACAGTGATGATGACAGTTTGCAGGGAAAGGAATAACTGCGGGAGTAGGTGGCATCTTTGCTCTGCCGCTGTTGAAAGACCAAGCTGTTGCAATGAGAAAAATCCAAGATGTTTTTAACCGAAACAAAGACTTATCCTGTTGCACCCCATACAACCCCTGTCATGAGTTCTCATTAAATTAGTTATCTGAAGGTGTGAATTAGCAATCCAAGATCAGCCATCGCCTCTGCAATTACCCTTTCTGCAGGAAGTAGGGAAGGATTAAAGAATGAGGTAACCTCTCTGCAGCTAGTCCTTGACTGCCTTTATTGCTCTGAGCAATACATCCCATGTGACCAGGTCTTTTTATTACTACCATGTCTCTAATATCTAGGATGGAAAGGGTAATTTGTGGGAAGCATTCTCAGGAATCACATTCTGGAAAGATCCGGCTTGCTCTGGCACTGGGACACAGTAGCTCCAGAATCCCTGTTGCAGTCTCAGCCCAGCTCTCCAGCTCAGAAGCAGAGCAGCCACGGAAGATGTGTGATGCAGGATGTGAGATGACACAGGATGCAGAATGCAGGATGCAGGATACGAGATATGGGGTGTGGGATGCAGAGATGTGGGATGATGCAGTATGCAGGATATGGGATGTGGGATGCAGGATGTAGGATGCAGGGTATGGGACGCAGGATGGCTGGTCTGCCATGCAGAGCTGGCCTGGCATGCAGTGCTGACCCATGTGGTTCGGGAAAATTGGGAGCTGGGCTGCCATGTGTGTTGTTATTTAGAAGAGTGTGCCTTGGAGGGTGATAGCACCAAGGAGAGCTTTGTGAGCAGATTTTATGTAGGGTTTGGGTACATGGTTGCGGAGGGAACCAGGCTCTGCTCCCTTCTCCTGGGAAGAAGCCACAAGCACAACACAGAGAGGGCGATGAGAATGCTGCAGAGCACCTTTGCTTTTCCTCTTCAGATATAAAGAGGCAGATTTTTAGGGAATCCTAAAAGTCACAAGGGGGACAATGACTGAACAGGGTGAAGATGGGAGAAGTCAGGCTTTTCCATCCCACGGCCAGAAACATTCACATGTTGAATGATCCAGCTGGGAAAGCAGCAGTGCAGCTTTTCCTGTATCCCCGATTCAGTCCACTCCCAAAAACCAGACCAGAGGTACCCTGCCTGAGCTCTACACCTGACCAGTTGCCTTCTTTGGGCATTTGGATTATGCAATAAAAACAGTGACCAGCTCTTAATACCTCTGAAAATGCAGATTCCCCAGGTAACCAATGTCAGGACTTAAGAAGCCTTAGGCAGTGCTCTATGCTATGTAATCTGTATCTACCTAAATTCAATTTAGCAGCTGCCATTTATCTACATGAGAACTGTTATGCCAACTTCCCCTAGTTTGACCCCCTCTAACCTACACCCTTTCAGTGGGTACACCATGATTTCAGCCTTTGCTCTTGCTTATTAAATGCTCTTGCTTTAATGTTTCACATTTGAATGCCAAGGTCCACTCCTCTTTAGATGGTATTTTTTTCAAATCTTACCTTTAAAATAAAATTATATACAATGCAGAGATTTATGTAACTTGCTTCCAGGGACTTCAGTTATTTTGATTAAAATGTTTCTCATTTTGCACTTTAGATTATGTAATCTTGAAGTAAATGCTGTTGCCTCTATACTTAAATCTCCAAACATAGTTGAAGGACACTGTCTCATTTCATCTAGTGAAAGAGATGCAAGTGAAAAATTTTTGAGAAATATTTGTGTTTGTGTATCCAAGTACGATGTTTGCTTTGAATGCAACAGCAGGATATTATTGATTCATATTACCTTTTCAGTTTCTATACCTACAGAATACCCTTTGGAGAGATTGCTGCCTTTCAGTCATTTCCTCTCTTGGTTTTGTGCAATGCCTGTGCCTGCTCTTGTGCTTATGGATTCACATCCCATTTACTGCAGCAGTTTTTCAATTTATCAAGATAATTTTGTATCCCGATATGGCCCTCCAAAGAGCTTGTAGTGTCTCACAGTTTCATAACATTTCACGTTTTAATAAGCATACTCTGTCTCTCTCCATTGCAAGGATAATTCTGATTTCAACTCAAGAGCTGCACCTCGTGTCTGAAGAGGGAACAGGCAGCTGGAGCATGCAGGTATTTTCCTGAGCTGCCCCAGCAGCACATCCCTGCAAATCCAGCATCTGCAGATGAGAGCTGTGTGAACTCAGCTGGTGTCTTACTGCACAGCAGCCTGCTCACAGTGCTGGAACTGCAGCTGACATCACTGGGATGATAACTGCAACAGCATTTGGGATTTCACAGTTTTTTGTGTGATATTCTACCCCAATCTACAGTAGTGATTCCTGCAGAGGCAGAAGACAGCTCTCTGGTGTCCTCCAGTCTGCCTCGAGCATGCAACTCTCCTAACTTTATTGGCTTAAGAAAATAAAAAATTACTAAAAAGGGGGGAGGGGGAACCCTTTCTAACTATCTGAACTTTGAAGATTTCTTATTGGACTCCTGTTAAGGAATTGCCCATGGAAGGAGATGCTGTGTTGGCTGTGACCAGAGACCCACAGGCAGTTGACTGGCATGGCTGGACACCTCCAGAGTGATCTCTTGCTAGTCATGAGCTTTCTCCCTATCTCCCATTTCTAAAGGCATTTTACATTGCATTTGTGATGAAGCAGGCAAGCATCAGCAATATAAACAACACAGCTGCTGTTGCAGGAAAAATTATTGGTTTATTAAGACAAAAACTACAGAATATTTTGCAGTTTGGGCAGAATTTCAGAGCCCAAACTGGAATCAGTGCTTTCAGTAAAATAGAGACACACTGAGTGTGAGAAGTGAGACAGAGGTCTGCAATGGACTGTCCCTGCTGCAGGAGAGGAGGGCTGACCTCTAGGCACTGAGGAAGGTGCTGACGACGGAGAAGGGCTGGAAATGGTCATATATTTGCACAGGACATGAGTGTGAAGGCAGGATTTGTTAAGAAGGAAGCTGGTGGGACCTGCAGATGTTGCCAGGCCAGCCCTTATGGTAGGGCAAGGGGACAGACAGCATGGCCATGCCTGGCTGCTCCGAGATCAGTGCTCTGGAGCAGATGGCAATGGGTCTGTGCAGTGTCATCCCAGCTACCTTAACCCAGCCTGGAAAGGGCTTTCAGCTGGTGGAAGAAGCACAGAAATCAAGAACCTCCATCTCCAAATCCTGCCCTGCACTTTTGCCCCAGAGAAACGTTGTCCCGTCATCTGCTTGGTCCCTCCCTCTGGTGAAGGCAGGATGTTTTCCAGCATCAGCAGATTTTCTTTAGATACAGGTGAATCCCATTCTTGGAGCGAAGAATGATCCGAGTTATTTTGAGGGGAGGATTGGCAGGGTCAGGCAAGAGCTCGAAGCGGAGCAGGGTCAGAGCCAGTGCCACCTTCATCTCGTTCATGGCGAATTGCTGCCCGATGCAGTTCCTGTGGTAGAACAGCAGCTCAGCCAACTCCACCTCAGTGCTGGGCACACCAAACCCCTGAGGCCAATCCCAGACCCCTCACACAACCTTCTTCCCCTCTGCAGCTTGGGGAGAGCCTAGGCAGTGTTTTGGATAGCGAAAGCGGAGGCATGGGGTGAGCAGGAGGAATCTAGGGGAGCAATGGGAGCTCAGGAATATGTGTTCAATGAGCATGGAGCAGGAGGGAGATGGGGAAGCCAAACAAGAGGCCAGCAGGGATGAGGTGGTGGGTCTACAAGCAAGAAGGGTCTGCAATGCGTTTGTCTCGGCAGGGCGAGCACAGGGCAAAGGGAAGGACTGGGAGAAGGGTGAATCAAAGGGTGGGAGGGTGGGATGGGGTCTCTGCATCAAGGACAGAAGGAGAGCAGATGAGCTCAGAATGCTGCAAGCTCCCCACGCGATACCAGCAGGATGCTCCACAGCTTTGGGATGCAATTCTCTGTCCCCAAAAGGGTCATGGCAGTGTTGCCTTTTCATTTTGCCTGCTGGTATCAGAACCCCTCTGCAGCACAAATGCTTGTTATCTGCTCGTGAACTGTTTAACGCTGCAAAGCAAGGACTTCAGGTGATGGTCTCTGCCCACTACTCCTTCAGTGCTCAATTCACTTTACCTCATTCCAGCAGAAAAAGGCAGAAAGGCGTGGGAGTGCCTGCCAGAGACATTCTCTGGGGAAAACCGGGAAGGGTCAAACACCTGAAAATGAAGAATATGCAGCAAGAAAAAGCGATTATTTAAGGAACACAGTGTTGACTGGTATCTTCAGAAATATGACACTCAGTTTCTGAAGAACTCCTTGGAAAGAGAATTCTGCTCTCCTGCTAACAGGTGAAGGGGACATGGGAAGAGGTACAGCACAAAGGGGAAAAACTATGAGAAGGGCAAAAAAAGGCTCACCAAAGGATCTTTCCATATTGCAGGGTTCCTGTGAATGAGGTAAATGCTTACTGCAGCAATGGTGCCTGTAAAGCAATCAAGGAGGAGAAAAGGGCTCACTGACAAAGAAAGTAAAGGGAAGGTTGCAGCACGCTCACCCAAAGGTCTATCTAAATCATTGTGGTCTTATCTGTCAACTGGAAACCTATTTTGTCATTGTATCAGAGAAAACTAAACATTGTATCAGAGAAAACAAAGCAGCCAACCAGTAGAAATGAGGAAGGCACCAGCAGCGTGGGCACATCGTTCCCCCAGTTGTGCCAAATCACAGAAACAAAACAGCAGCACAGGACAATTCCTACATGCAACTTGGCATGGGACCAGTCCCTGTCCCCCTGCACCATTTACCAAGAGGTGAACCATGAGTTTGTGCTTGGCCAGGAAGAGAAGGGGCTCGGCACAGGCACAGCTGCCCTACAGTGATGGTGGCAGGAAGGACATCACGGGGATGCTGCTGTGCAGCCCAGACCTCAGTCTATCAACAGGACGCCAACATCTGCACGGCACTGTCTGAACATCTGTGCCTGAGAGGGCCACAGAGGCAGGACTGTCACCTTTCCTCTGCCACAGGAAGCGAGGATGCAGCTGATGTCTGAGAAGGTAATTTTGTGAAGTGGGAATGGGATTTACAGACCTTCTGGCAAGGTGTTTCCATCAGGGAAGGTGATGGGTTTGCCGAGCTGCCGGGCCACACCAGGCACTGGTGGGTAAAGGCGAAGGCTCTCCTTGATGCACATAGTGCTGTAAGTCATCTTGCTCAGGTCCTCCCTGTTGGGGCAGAGGGAGGCTGAGCCCCACACTCCCCCCACTGCCCTGCCCTGGGAGGCCCCTTGTCCCAACCCTCTGAGCAGATCCCCTGGCAACAGACAGGGTGTACAGGGGGATCCACAACGTCCAACCAGGGGCAGCTGCAAGCTGGGGACACCAGGACACCTCTGAACAACCTTAACAACCTCTGAACAAACTCAAGTGCAAAGTGACAGCGAAAGGTGAAAAGCCATGACTATGATGCCCCGTGGCAAGAAAACAGGAGAGAGCAAAGAGCAGTGCTAGTGGCCCAGGACTTGGTATGGCATCCAGAATGTCCCTCCCAGTGTGGCAGATTTAGCTGAAAGATGCAGTATCTGCTCCATCCTATGGAGCCCCTGTGCATGCAGCAACCTTTAGCTTCTGAGCTTTGAAGATATTGCTCACCTAGAAATGGCAGCGATAGGAAAAAAGTTACCAGCTGAGGAAATGTGCAACTTTACCACTGAATTGTCTTCCGGTCCCCCAGGATGCCCTGGATCTCCTCCCGGCACCGTGCCTGGTGCTCAGGGTGTGATGCCAGGCAGTAGAAGAGCCAGGAGATCCCACTGGCTGTGGTATCATGGCCCTCAAACATGAATGTGTCCACCTCGGCACGCAGGTCCTCGTTGGACAGTCCAGCTCCATTCTCATCCTAACAGACCAGAGGCACTCTCAGTGGCCCATATATATAAAATTTATATATATTACATACAATATACAATACTTAGATTATATACATTATAGTGACACATACATGTATTTTATATATATATGTAATACATAAATATATAAACATATATATGTATATATATATAAAAATGTCCCAGGAAGGACTATTATATTCTTTCAGCTATTGCAAAGGGGTATGATGATGCCCATGGGATACATATAAATGAAACCAGTGTCTGTTTGCACTGAGTTCAGGGCCCCTTTCCCTTCACTTATAAATCTCTTTATCCTCCCATATTAAACTACCAGGACTACAAAATCTCTCTGCATGTTGTATTCCTAAAAAGACGCTACCAACATTTCAGTGATGGAAAATGGCCCCTCCTCAACTGGGCAGGACTGGATTAATTTTTTTAATGGCTTGTGCCATCCCGAGGGTCTCTGGTGGTTCGTGGCACCCCTGTAAAGACTGACTGGCTTTTGCACCCTGTGCCATGCCACACACACTCTCCTCATCACTCACTTTGGCACACAGCAGAATGTCCAAGAAGTCCAAATGTCTCTTCTTCTGGATCTTTTCAAATTCCCGTTCATCTTTTAGGGATTCCTTTCTCTCCTGGATCACCTTGTCTGGGGGAGAAAGAGTTAAAGGTTCAGCAGGGAAGGAGATGCCAAGCTGCAAAATCATCCTTCAAATGCAAAGCTCACGCAAGGGGGTGACTATTGCTCAGTTCATGAGGCATTTAACGTGTGCTTCTGCATCCCAGGGAGTTTGGCATTTTCAGCAGCATGGCAACAAATGCCATCCTTTCCTGCAAACTTCTTTGTCCCCCACAGGCTTCTCAGCCTATTTTACACACCCTTCATTCATTAAAGCCACACCTGGCTTGGAAAAGAAAATCATTCCTTGCGTCGGTGTTGCCTGCAGTGCCCATCCCTTTTCTCACCAGTCTCTGCTCATTTAGCAGGAGGGTTCCCAGAGGGGAATTCCTCTGTTACTCCAGTTTAATAACCCAGGAGCTGTGAGACCTCCTGGCTTCATGCCTAGATCAGACCACTGCTCCAAGCTGATGGATCCCAGACCTGAACCTCCGGGCAGGATCACTGCATGGGCAAGGAGGTAATTTAATTGCCTCTGGTCAGCCATCACTTACCCTGCTTGAAAGCTTCGGGAGAGGATGAAGGCAGGGAGTACCTGTGTGGTCATGAGCGATCCGGCAGGCCTTCCTGAACCGAAATCCTTGGGGGCTGAGCCAGTAAATGAGGTCATTGTGGTAGGGGAAGATGCGGAGGCGTTGATCCACCATGTAGCAGAGGTCGTAAACAGCCTGGATGTAGGCGTTTTCCCTAGGGAGAGAGGAATGGTGGATGCTTGTAAATTTGGGAACACTGTGACAAGGAGTTTGCCCATTTCCCTTTTGAGCTGCAAACTTCCTGCCAGGGTTTGGGGCAGCCAGCACTGACCTGTTGGTCTGACAGTTACTGTGACAACTGAAGGCACATTTCATGATGCTATCAAGAGTCATCAAGCTGACATGCTCGAAGAGCTCCACTGGTTTTCCATCTGTGATCAGCTTTTCCCATTTATCCTAAGGCACAAAGGAGACAGAAATGAGAAAGCAAGGGTCAGTTCTGCATGATCTGCATTCATACTCTAGTTAAATGAGTGCTCAGATAGGAATACATCTCAGAAAAATGGGGGAAAAAAAGAAGTGGATCTCTTAGCTGCCATCAAAATCCTGGAGAAGAGAAGCCAAGAGTGGGATGGTTAATACAGGATGTGTCTCAGGCAGCTGCTGTTGTTGGATCAGGGGAGTGGTGAGTGCTGGTACACCCTACCCTGGGGTGAGGGCATCCTGGAGAAGCCCAGGCCAGATGCATTTCTGGGTGATGGGATGTGCTACCAAAGTCTTTCTTAGGATGCAAAGTGTTTTCTGCACAAGAGCAGCATATGTTGGCATTGGGCTTCACTGGGCCTGTTCTCAAGCGCACAAGTTTGGTGCTCAAGATGCAAACTTTGGACCAAGGTTTTTTCTCTATCACACAATCCCTCTGCCACTGTGTTTTTCCAGCATATAACATGGGAGTTCTTGTTCAACTCTTTCCATAGGGGATCCCTAGGGAAACTATAAATAGTGTCTCTTTTGCCCGGCAGACATGAGGTGATGTTGAATCCTCTGTCCTTTCGTGGCTGTAAGGAACCAGTGGACTCAAAAGCTGAGAAAGGGAGGAGCACAGTCAGATCTGAGCCCCCACAGCATGAAACCAGGCTTATACGGACAGATGCGTGTCCGAAGCACATACAACGATTGCCACCTGGTGGCACAACTCCCACAATAGGCACTTGTGCTCTGTCTGCAAGGAATTCTGAACTCCCAGGCACTTGTGTGCATTGTGAAAGCGCTCCTGGCTGCTCACTGGGCCAGTGGAAGGGATCCAGTCAGGATCCATTTGATGCTGGGAAGGCTGGAGTGAGGGAGGCGAACGAGAAGGAATAGATCCAGCATCCAGACTCCTGCCAGTTTACGTGCACAAAGACTGGTGCACTTTGTCTGTAATTCCTACTTGTTTCCATAGTGTCCAGCACCAATGGATGGAAGAACAGTGCAGTTTCACTGTGTATGAGGCAATGCAGGGATTGCAATCCAGTCATGGGTACATTGACAACAAATAATACCCTTTAATTTTGGTGACAGCATACCTCTGCTCCAACTTTCATATTTTCAGGATTTATTATGAACGTTTGTTTACTTTGATTCCTCATTTACAAAAAACACCTTAAAAGAAGTTGCAGTTGGGACTGAGACCATGCACAGTCTGAGGATGGCAGTAACGTTAATCCTCAAATCTCAGCCACAGATCCCAAGGCAGTACCAGAGACATTGCCACTGCAGGGAGGCTCAACCTGCCCATTCCTTCCAACTCATGGGCAGGGATTTATGGTGACTCAGAAAGACTGACAGTCAGGGCACAGTGTGTCCTTACAAATACCAGGTAAAGAAAAACCTGCTCCAGCATTTACCTGCTAACCAGTCATGATCAGGGAAAAGAAAACAGGGCAGAGAGAGGAGCATCAGACGTGAGTCCTACCAGCATCACGTTAGTAGACTCTGCCATCAGGCCCACGTACGGTTTCAAGACGTCGTAATGAAACCCTGGAGTCAGGAGTTTTCGATGCTGGTGCCATTTTGGCCCATGTAAGATCAGCAACCCGTTCCCTGGGGAAACACAGGCAAGGCATGTTTTGCTGGGCACAAGCAGGCTGCTTTCACCTGCCTGCAGACACAGCCCTGGCCTGCAAGGAGCATGATTAAATCTGCTGTCTGAGCTGTTGCCATCAGCTCCAGGGTTCCCAGAGCTGAGCAAAATTTCCCTGCTCGCCAAAATTACACAGCGCTGCCTCTGAAAAGTAACACCAGAACTGCTGGAGCAGAGAAGTTCAGAACAGAAGATGTGCTTTTGATCAGTCATCTACTGAATCTAAGCTTCTCCTATCACCACCCTTTGCTATCTATGGACATGTAAGTGGTTCTCATTTGTGCATATTGGCTATGCCTGAACTTTCCTTCCCTGAAAATAAAGAAATAGCACTATTTAGCACCTTTTTCAATAAATGTAATAATTTCAGGGAGCTTTTGGCTATAACGCCGTCAAGGAACAAGCACAGTGCTGTTTATTTATAACATATTTCTGACTTAACTTCAGAATCATTCCTGGTAGGCAAAGCCCTGGGAATACATACCAATCCATGGGATAAGGTGTTTATAGCTGATGTTATCCTTGGGATCTGTGAAAAAAAAACCCATAAAGAGAAAATGGTAAACAGTAGCATCAACCCACAGATTTACAACTGAAAGCTCCCTCTGGGCTCTCAGTTTTGCTTGGGTATGAAGCAAAATTGGTGGGATCCCTGCAGAACTCATCAGTATTTCACCACAAAACAAGTCTGTCTATGCCAGCTGCAATAAACACATATAAAAGCAGATGCCCACACCAGAAAAAAGAATATTGGTAGTCCAAAGTCTGTGCAGTGTGATAAATGATTAACCCTCCCAGATGGCACTCTTCAGGATATTTTGTCTCAATGTACTAAAGATACTTCTCTGCAGTAGGAGCCAGGACTCTGAGGTGAGAAAAAAGCTCCCAGGTGTCTTCTGCTTGCTGGGGTCAGGCACCAAATGGATAACTTTTCAAGGAGCACTTGAGGAAGTGTGATTTCCCAGCAATGGATTTGGAGGGCCCATGATCAGCCCTGCAGCCCTGTGCTGAAGCACCCAGGGCAAGGCATGAAGAAGGAGTATCTCTCCATGTCTTTAGATGATTTCTGCAAGAAAACCTCTCTGTGAAACCCTGCCTTGCTGTGAATTTTGGGGCTGGCATGGGAAATATGCAGGCTGTGGTTGCTGCTCCACAGCTGAAGGCATCATCTCTCACCTCCTCTGGCCAGCAGAACCTTGGCGTAGTCGGGATCGGTGACAACCAGGAACGCTGAGAAACTCCCAAACCACATTGGGTGAGCATGTTGGTACTTCTGTGCCCAGATCTCTGCCTTGTCCAGCACCTCTTCCTCCTTGAGAAACTAAATGTGGAGAAGTAAAAACAGAAAGAATACATAGATCTGGAGGAAAAAAAAATAAACAATCTCCCAATACACTATCTTAACAGTTCAAAGTCTTTCTGATCACAAAACCAGACAAAGAAGAACAAAGTGTTGTTCCTCTGAGTTTGCAGAACATGAGAAGTAGAGATGCTTGTTACTTTTAAAGCTCATATAAAATAATTCTTCCTTATCACTTGACCCTAACACAGAGGACATCCTCAGGCACAGTGGTGGTGCCTATCAGCCCACATATATTATCTGCTCTTTTTCCATGGCCACCCCAAAGAAGACTCAGATTTGCCCCAGACAGCATCTGCATTTTGTGGTGTGCAAATACATTCTCACTTGCACATGGCTGAGCAATTAGTACCCTGCAGTTGTGACAAAATACAGTAGCACTTCTAAAGCAGCAAACATTATCACTGCTGTGTCTGCTCAGTGCAGTGATGCCTCCTGACTGGGAAACCCGGGCCACAGCTTCCTCCAGCCATTTAGGCGGAGAAGAAGGCCAGTGTTCAAGCAAGATCAAACAGAATGAGTCCAAAGTCATCAATGGAGTGTACAGACAAGGGAATGCTGATTAATAACGTTAGATTAAGAATTCTTTGATTTCCAGGAGTTGAATTTATCGGCAATGAAGAGCCAATGCTCCCAGAAAGATTTATCTCCAGTCTTGGAAGCTGCAATCTGAGGAGTAGCATGAACACCAGCATTCATATCAGCAGCACTGGCAAAGTTCACTCAAAAGCGATCACTGCTTTATTGCTTTTACAGCCTGTGTTGTTGTATATTAAATAGGCAATAGATAAAGAACAAGTGGAAAGATCCACAGTCACAGGCAGGTTAAAAAAATTCACGGAGACAAAGCCATGTAAGAATTCTTTTTGCTTTGAGCAGAAACTACTCTGGGCCAATATGCAGGGGGGTGGATTTTGGGAAGCTGGGGCTGACACAGCTGCTACTGCTTTGACTTGAAGCCTAAAGATTAATTAAATAAGCGTACTGGTGCAGAAATCAGCCTCAAAGTCACCCTATTGACTGAATCAAGTGAATATTTGCTCAGTCACTTTGGTGTTGAGTTAGCTCAGCTTTCTGGCTGGTGTTTCTCAGCCCGGACATGGATTGTACTCCAGTGATCACGCACATCAAATAATCAGCCACGTGTGACTTGTCTTGGAGAGGATGCTCAGGAGTGCTGGGGTCTCTGCCAGGGCACTGCACAGGCTGTGTGGGGGCACATCCAGATTTGTGCTCTAAGGCTAAGCTTCCTCATAAACTGGGAGGGTCCCTGCAGTACATCCTGTGTGTCTCCCACGTTCAGCAGAATGATGAACCACATCCAGTTATCATTTTTGACACAAGGCTCACCTTCAGTTTCTCTAGCTCAAGTTCAAGATTTTGAACTTAATAAAGAGAACCATCAATTTCTCTGGTTGTGGGGATCAAGTCTGGGATAAAAGGAGGCAGCCCTGCCCAGCACCCACCCCTTCAGTAATGCCAGCAGAAGCAAGGCTTGGCAAGGTGCCTTTAGGTCAGTGATGCTTAAACATGTGAAAGTCCCTTTGACACAGTTGCTTGTGTTTCCTCCCATCATGAATCACAGAAAGCATAAATGGAAGTGACTGGGAGATGCTGAGCAAGTATTGCTGGCAGAAGTCCTGATGCTAGAAGTCTTTTCATCCAACCTTGTGTTTGGAGAGTGACCTCAGTGTGTGCTATAAAGAACCATCCCTGTGCTGGCAGATAGTGGAGTGGGTTTATTGGAGGAGAGGTTACCTCCGAGGTGAGTGACCTGCTGCACCAAGCACTCCTGGAGCAGAGGGTGTAAAGTCCTGGAAGCTGCAGAGGAACAGGAATGGAAAGCTCCTGTTCCCTAATCAGGGCTTCAGATACCAGGCTCTGCATGAAAGAACATCACTTCTCCTTCTTCCTCCCTTGTAAGCTTGAAGAGAAAAGTATAACCTCCACTCATGTCCAAGGAAGAAAGATAATTGCCTGATCTCATGCTGAAATGCAAGTTTTGAAATGGATCCAACACTAAAAGCATCTGGGAAGAGGTTTAAAAGCACTTTTAATGGCTATGCACTGATAGCAAATGAAAGAGAAAACACAGGAGCTGAAATCTGAGCACAAAGCTGCACTGTGCACAGCCAGGACCAGGCTGGCATCTCCCCACAGGGCATAAGTGGGCGAAGGGCTGCCGAGGGACTGACAACTCCCTGCTCTCCTCTAGCTTCCCACTAACCCTGATGAGGGGAAGTCAGTTTGTCCAGCTCACAGCTGGCACTCTGGGTTTTAATTAAGTTGTGCTTCTACAGTGAGACTGAACAGGTCTACACAACCTCTCCTGATCTTTTAATGTCATTTCTATTGCGTGGTTTGGATAAGCAGAGACTAATACTGTTTCAAAGCAGAAAATGCTTTAAAACAAAGTCATGCAATCCCAGGAGATCCACCCAATCCATGACTAACATATTTGAGATTCTAAACTGACCTGAATCAAAACTGTCAAATAATCACTTAAATCAACAGAACAGGAAATGTCAGTGCTCTCCCTGAGTACAGCTCACAGGTCCTCCTCCGAGGTGCATGCAAACTTTGTATTCAGCGTGTGCCCAGAGCACTGCCAGTTTCCTTCCTGGCTCAATGAACTGTTGGACTCTGGGGAATTCAGCAGCATTTAATCAACAAATTACTAAATTCACAAAAGAGAAATTCTTCAAAAAATACTGAGGTAAAGGTTGAGCCGTGAACAACCTGGCCATGATGGGCAGCACAAATGGTTATATCCACTTCTAGGATAAATACTCACAACTAACAAACATACTTTATTCAATTGCAGTTTTAAAGTCTAACTGGCAGTCTACCAAAGCCCTGAACTGGCCCATCTTCATGCTTACATTGCCAAAAGACTGCCTGTTCCATCCAGCATGGCAAAACTGGGGCTGCCATGGCATGGGGACAAGCACTAGGAGGTCCCCTCCTGATTTCCCAGATACTTTTCAGAGTGCCAGTTATTTAATGAGCCACAGATTTGGCCAGGGCAGGACATCAGCAGAGTCCAGCAGAAGTCAGGCTGATTTTAAGCAGCCTTTAGCATGTATGGAAAAGCCTTTTGCACCAAGCAAGCTCAGCTACTCCTCATGAAGCTGCCAATGAGTTGTGGCAATCTGTTTGTCAAGGCAGACATGCTGATCTGTGTTAGCAAGTCATCCATGCCACCAGTACCCAGAACAAGGCTTGCCTATGCACATGGGTTTAGTTAGTCATGACTTTAATGCAACCTTAACAGGATCTATGGCCCCTCTGCTGGATGCAATACCCGGGGTGTGTTTTGGGGCTTAAACGTGACTCGCAGTGATCAATGCCCTGTCTGGCTCACCTGACTGTGAGGCCGATGGAAGATGGCAAGGGACAGAAGGTGCCTCTGGATGCCGGGAGCAGCGTGCATCTGCTCAGCATCGCAGCAGCTCGGCACTGCAGGGACAGCTGCAGCGGCCCTGCCCTGGCTTTCAGAGGAGCAGAGAGGTGACAGTGCAGCCTGCCCCGGGACAGAGCGAGGAAGCTCTGCTGCCTCCAGCACCAACGCCGGGTCACAACCCGGGATGACCCTGCCCTTGCCACACTGTATTACCGCTTTCTTTGCCTGCGAGCCGGCCACCACCCCTTTCCACCGTGCAACCTGCAGCAGCCTGTGTGAGCCGTTCATGAGCCGCACTCTCTAAGCATCACAGGCGGAGAAAGCGGTTTGAATGGCTGATAAAAGGGATGCCCATCTCCCAGTCACACCCGGACTGGGAGAAGCAATTCTCCCATACCACAGGGACAAGTGCCACCAGCATCACCCCCACCTAACCCGCGGGGAGACTGCTCCCCGCACTCCTCCTTCCCTCCGGCAGCGCAGCCCCGGCTCTGCCCCACCTCGTGGACGTGGCCGAAGAGCCAGTGTGTCGGGTGCCCGGGGAAGGCGGCCAGCGCCCGGAGCAGCTCCCGCCGCCGGTGGTACAGCTGGATGGCCTTCAGCAGCACGCAGGTCAGGCAGAACACGGCGGCCAGGTGCAGCACCCTGGAGACATCCACGCCCAGCCACAGGAGCTTCATCGCCGCACTGAGAGTCGCCGCCGCTGCCTCCCGTGTCCCCACGGCCCCGGCGGCGCCAGCCAATGCGGGGCGGAGAGGCAGGTCCAGAGTCCGAGCGGCTGCCAAATCACGGCAGCGCTTGTTGGGAGGGAAGGCAAGGCAAAGCAAAGGGAGCATCCCCGCGGGAACGCCGCCACACCGGCTGGGAAGCGCTGCCCTCCCCGATGCCTCGCCGCTTCCACAGGCTCGCTCCTGGCCGGGAACGCGGGCTGAGGAGAGAGGAAAAGACTATACCCTGGGATTTTTCCCCCGAGGTCTTCATCGCATCTTCCTGTCTCGGAAGGTTTCACCTTTACCTCCATCCATTCCCATCCCTCCCTCCCTCTCTCCCCGCTGCCGGCGCTATGGAGCCGCATCCCAGAGCCGAACGGGACAGCATCTGCCCCGCAGGGAGAGCAGTGAATCGGCCACCGGGCCGGTCTGGCGATGCCTTGTGTAAGCCGAGGCACCGTGGCAGCTTTGGCACGGCTTTGGCACGGCTCTGTGGCAGGCGGAGGGCAGGCGGAGGGCGGGCAGCTGCCGGGCAACGCCGCTTCCCTGCCACCGTTAACTCCGGCAACAACGGCCCCGCCGAGCCTGGAGGGGCGAGGGGACGGACACCGGGCTGGTACCGCCTGCAGCGGTTCCGGTCCGTCCCCAGCCCGGTCTCGGTCTCCGCCTCCCCCGCTCCTCGCCGCTCCTACACCGCTCGTCCCACCCGCCGGGGGCGGGACTCGAACCCGCGGCCCTGCGCGCTCCGCGGCGCCGAGCGGGGCGGTCCCGCGGCGGCCAGTGGGAGCGCGCCTTGCTGGCAGGCGGCGGCGGCGGCGGGGCCGGACCGGCCATGGC